CGGAGTACACAAACTATCGGGAGGTGATCCGACTCTGTGCGAGCCTTTACCTCAAAACTATCTCAGATGAAACAACCGCATAATCAACAGTGCTGCAGCCGGTCTTTGAAATGTAACTTAAATTTCCAGGAATATCGGGCATACTTCTACCATTCACAATATGTATATTCATTAATTTACACAGCTCGAGTAAGCACTTTCCATACATATTTGTGACAGTATCATATGAATTGCGGGATTTAGTAAAGTTATCCTGAGAATAGTCGTCACCAACAGGAATATAATCAGAACCGTCATTTACTATGAAGTCAGGCTCCTTAGCTGTTCGGGCATTGAAATCACCAAACAAAATAAACTTACTGGCTTCCCCATAATCGAACAATATTTGTAAAAGTTTATTTTCTAATATGTCTATGCCGTTGTCTTCTGAATCTGTATATTCCGGCGATCTCTCTGGGTGGATGTACACGAATCCAACAAATATGTCATGGGGTTCACAGTCATTTGTTAATTTGAAAAATAAACAGTTCTCCCAGTTCGTATACACTCTCTGAAAAAGAGAAGAAATATTCTTCCGGATAGAAACTGATATACCACCTGAATATCTACCGACATTATGTCGCCTCACGGCATTACATACAAAATTATCAAAATTATTGAATGTTGCGTCCAGGAGTTGCTGTGCATCAGGACTCATTGTGATTCACAAAATGATATAAAGTCTGAATCTGATATTTTGGTATTTATACCACAGATATTCCATGAGCAGAAACTCAGATGATTTGGAGTACTTATCTTATAATCTGCAATATCAAGAAGACATTCATCAACGGGGCCACCGCCAATTTCCTATCTGGAACCTGAAGCAGACGACACATTTTGCGGGGAGCCAGCCTGGTGATGAGTAGACGACGTGTTGTGTGGGGAGACAGCGGACGGGGAGTCAGAGCGGTGATGAGCAGGTTGACTTCTGCTCGACCAGTTCCGACGTCGGCCAATCTGCGGATATCTTTGGTCTCCTCGTCAAAAACAAACACATCGCCGTCAATGACCAGTTTATCATAGAGCTACCTTGTTACCCTTGCCGGTTTCTTAAAATCGAAATAACTGCTGTCTAATCCAGCGAATGTTTTCGGTAAAGTCATCAGAAACCCTATTAACTGCATCCCCCTTCAATTGACGTCTCCCCCCTTCCATAACGGATTCCTTATCTTTATAGAAAGTGAAACGGACAATGACTGGTCTGGTACCAGATTTGCTATGCAAACGATGGGCGCGGTCAGTGGGAACTGATGTTGCATTAACCATGTTAAGTTTAGTTGAGAGAAATTCTCTAACTTTACTTTCAACTTTGTCCCATGTCTCCCCTTGCTCTTCAGCAACGCCATGTAGAATGACATTATTGCCCCTGGACTGGGCCTGGAACTTGTCTGTCTTCGTCTCTAAGAACAGCACTCAGTCACGGAGTGGGTCGTTTTCTGATTGAAGGGCACGTATCTGTTCGTTGAAATCACGTGCGAAGCGGTCAAACTTATCGTTAACACCCCCATTCCACAGACATTTCAGACTCATCGGTCACTTATCGGAGCCAAAGTTTTTCCTTCCGGTAACCCACCGAAGAGTATCGTATCACAGTCCGAGGAATCCGATTTGTGTTTGTCGACTATCAGGTCAGTGTTCGACGTGTCGGGCGTCATCCGATGAGGCGAAATCGTCCGATGAAGGAACTAAGCTCAGAGCTTAGTTCGCCATCGGACGCTATTTCCGGTCGCAAATCGAGTCAGTGTCGGATGAATGTCGAGTCAGTCCGATGTGTGTCGGATTCGTGTTGTGCAACTACTGGACGTGTCCAGCCGACGTCTGATGGCAATCTGATAAGTATCCGATGATTAACAGTCATCTGACGCTCATTTGATTGCAGTCTGCGGTGTGCCCGACGCGCCTGATAGTCGCCCATCACCAATTCGATTCTCCCCCTAATGTAACATGATATTTAACACCGTCCAATTGCTATCCGGTGTGACATCGGAGGTAATCGCTCACTAACTCAACTGCCATCCGACACATATCGCATAGCAAGCGGTGACATCTGACGGCCAACGGACTACAATAGGAGGGTCAGCCGACACTCACTCTGCAGAGTTTCATCGGACACTACAGCACCAAGATCCTGAAGATGGGTCCAAGAAAGAACAGAAATGTTCGAGGACAGAAGGCAAAGAAGCGACCTCCCATTCTCCTGGTATGATGTTGTGGTTGGCATCCTCTGTATCCAGCTGACCATGGTGCATGGCTGGGTGCCGTATTCAGATCAGGTTGTGGAGGCAGTCACAGGTTTCTATGATGTTACGCACAACGTCAGGTTGTTGTTGTAATGTTCCTTGAAGACACTGGAATCTGGCTGCCAGTATTCCGAAAGCGTTCTCCACGACTCTCCGGGCTCTACTTATGCGATAGTTATATATCGCTCTGTAAGAGTCACGTTCTTTCTCGAGTAGGGCTTCATCATGTGGGTTCGCAAAGCAAAGGCGTCATCCCCAATGAATCATGAAGTATGGCATGTTCTGGTTGTCACTGGTCATTGGCTCAGGTGGGGAATCCTATTTGAACTCTCTCCACTGTCTCTTTGAGCTCAGATGCATTGTATACCCGCATCAGACATGTGTCCTTGACCACTGGTGTATATCCACAAGTCAACACATCAACAAGTGCCATGAGGACCACTGAGAAGAAATGTGTGGTAGAGTCTCCCTGAGTTCTTCACTTTCCTGAGTGCTTGCCATCATGTGTCCCCATTACATGTGGAACGTTCCAACGCCTCGCGTATTCTTCAGCAATTGCATGCATTCTTGTTCAGTTCGGACACTGGATCATTTCATCAGCATACTCATCCAACATGGCTTGACAGATTTCGGGGATAAACTTCTCGAGCAACCCTGAAGCTGTATGACAGTGATGGATACCGATCGCCAGCTGCAAGGTGCCTTAGGGTGCAGGCTAACAGGCTCTCCTGGCATTGGTATGACCCTTCGTGAGTCTTGGTACGAGTCTCTGGAGTAGTTCATCAAAGGATTCTGGCGTAACTCTCAAGAAATTGAAGAATACCGTTGTATCCTCCATTCTCAGTTCATTCACGAGTCTGGTGAAGTGCCCAAATAACAGCCTTCTATCAGCTTGCACCCATGTTCGAACCCAACAACGACGTGGTCTTCTATGCCTCCTTCTCAAGGGCCATTGCATCTTGTTGCGTAGTTTTTTGCTGCAGCATAAAAACAAAGCCCAGGGTTGCAGCGTTGCGAGGAGGTTGATCCATGACTAGAACCGTCAGGAGGTGCAGCCCGCTTTTATACTCGACTGACGATTTTGGCAGCAAATCCGACCAGTATTGAGTCAGTGTCCGATTACCCTACGAATAGTAACCGATTTGTCAGATTGGTGTCGGGAGAGTGTTGGAAGTGTCAGATAAGTGTCAGGTCACCCTCGAATAACAATCCGACTGCAGTCAGATCAGTCGGACGCCGCTGATGATTATGGCGGACAGACATCAGGCCGCTACCAGTCTTTCATCCGATTCACCCGATCAATGTTGGATCTCTTTCGGCTTTTACGGGAAAAAAAACCCCTCGGGTAGCCTTAAAACGGGGCAGAAAAACACACGTCTCACCCTGGTCAGAATAAAAAACATCCTATAGCTCTTCTCCAGGTTTCAGTCCATACACCCATGTCGGCTTCACGGTACCTTCACACTTTTATGCAATACCCTGTACCATTAAATTGCTGTCGCAGGCTGATATTCTACCATAATTTGCAAATTTATGTGCAGAGCAGTAAAAAACGTCTACCTGAACAGGTAAGTCACATAATGTCAACAAGAAGCACTCTAAGGCACTGGCTATTATACACGTCCGCATAATCTGCTAAATAATCATGAATAAAATTTAAACATTTGACTTTTTATTGACTTAGTACAAAATACACCACATATTAACAACAGGTCCACCCACACCTTGGGCCTTGCATATAATTATAATATTAATATATAAGTTACGCCGACCTGTAAAATCTACAATTCAGGAATAAATGACAAGAACGACAAGATCCATTCATACCTCTGGTGGTAAAGATCGCTTCAAATGACAAAGACAATGAACTTTGGCTCTCCTTGTTATTATAACATTTATCACTTAATACAGTAATAATTTTCCCGTATATGCATTTTTTGCTACCCTGATATAGGCGAAATCGTTGGGCCCATGTCTGGGCCCGGCAAGATAACCCCCTGAATTTTGTGTGCGACGTCATGGAACGTAACACAATGAAATGACGCCAGGTGTTCCATGACGTCATATTAAGTTGCGACACCCTTAGCTGGGAACCGAGAACAAGCTTACGACAACCTTTGATGAAAATGGCAGGTGATCGGACGCTAGCGTCACTTTCCAATAGAGTGATGGAACTAGATGAATTAGTGGAGCGGGAGGAAATTCCTTCGGATGACTGTATTGAGACACGGAAGTATGTTGAAAGTATGAAAAACGAAAACACAAGAGGAAAAACGGAACATGATGTGAAGATTGTCAACGCCTGGCTGCTATCGAAGAAGGAGAATCGGGACATTTTGCAAATTGACACAAAAATATTGGACCTGTATCTTGCACGCACCATGGAACAATTTCACAGGAGCAAACTTTCACGCACCTGTTCATGTTAATGTTATAAGGCGAAGGTAAACGATACATACATATCCCACACCGCCCGGAAATCGACAGCGACTCCGACGATGAATGAACGTGTGCAAATGAGTGAGTGAGTTTAGTTTTACGCCGCACTCAGCAATATTCCAACTATATGGCGGCGGTCTGTAAATAATCAAGTCTGGACCAGACAATCCGGTGATCAACAGCATGAGCATCGATCTGCGCAATTGGGAACCGATGACATGTGTCAACGAAGTCAGCGAACCTGACCACCCGATCCCGTTAGTCGCCTCTTTACGACAAGCATGGGTTACTGAAGATCAATTCTAACCCGGACCTTCACGGGTCTGTGTAAATGACATTCTCAAAGTGTTGAATTAATGTTGAATAAAAAATGTGAGTGTTTGAGTGAAATATTTTTGTAGCGTATAAAAGGTTTTTTAAAAATGATAGATTCTTGCTTGGTTAGTATTAAGTGATAAAAATATTAGACTCTACCTTCTCCTAACGGCCTCAGTCAGGTATGGGCGTCAAATGATGATATGGGGCAAGATATGGAAAAGGGAGGGTGATATTCTCAACATATACACCTGCCAATTCATTTTCTAAAAAATACATTCAACTTGGACCCCTCTTTAGAAATTTATGCCCATTTAAACAGTAAAATGCCAGGTGATCTTCAGAATCCACAGCAGCTTATTTTTGCTTTGATCATGCTGAAAGTTGGTCTGTCCCGCTACTCCTACGATGAAAGACTCTTCCGGTCACGTGACCCGTCGTCAGTGCAGGTGTCTGATCCTGTTGTCTGAACTAAAGCAAACGGCCATCTGATATTGCTAGATCCGTCGTGTGTCCATTCACCACAACCTGAGACAGAGCGATGAACATAGCATCAAGAACACATGCAAATCAGTGCTCACCTTTCTTATAACCATATTTGTGTGACATCTAATTATATACAAAAACGTGTAATTTCATTTGCTAATCTGTAACAAGGTGAGCTAACCATAGCAACTAACAGATACAGCCATTCCTGGCATAGTCTGCCTCACAGTCCCAGAACCACATTATTTCCCTTCCCTTTCTGTTATGCTAAAGCCCTAAATGATGCAAGTCTAGATTTCCTAAGGGTCTCCCATCTCTCTTGGGCTCCTTTCAATTTAAAAAGACATAGTTGTTCCTATCAAAAGTATGTATATTCAGGGACTATAGTCTGTTTCAAATCGCTATTATTGGTTTGTATTACAAGGGGTACGCGCAGTAGTTGGAACAGTGAAACAAATGCACGTGCGGTACGTGATGAGCGTTAACCTAGACGACCGTAGAAACCAACCACGCTTGTTCTCGAGGTTTCATTTAATGTGCATACCCCCTTGTAATACAAACCAATAATAGCGATTTGAACCTATGATCGTTTGTTAAACAACTTTTATCCTAAGTTGAATAAAATTCTGAGATTTTAATGTTCAATTGGCAAGGTAAAGTTATGAGGATTCGCAATCAAAATTTCACTTTATTTGATTTACTGTTTAGTTTAAAGTGTGAAATTCATCGGTACGTTTTCACTGCAAACGGACTATAAGCGTTAGCCTATTCCCTAGCGTTAGGAGATCTGTGAGTTACATACCAGTTGTCACTTGAACTACATATACCTAACATAACATAACGGTAAACTGGGGCTGTCCCTGCACTGCGAATGTTCTTGGTGCCAAAGCTCAAGAAACTCATCGATATGCTTTCACGTAGCAGACAAGTAGACAATTCAACATACGCGATCTTTTGTGTCGTCACTTGGGTTGATCGACGAAGGAGTTTTCCTCATCTCCACGCGCACCTCCTCTGAGTTGTCTCCCTTGGTCTCAGCTACCTGACATAGAGGACTGAGGGCGACATACCAGGGCGACAGATAACGGGCTTCTACCGGGCGTTTCCTGGTTCCACCTGCAACAGAAGACATCTGTAACTAGCTATCACATACCTTACGCAATATCTAGGAAAAATAACCTTGTTTTGAGTACCACCTGTAGCTGAAACCAATCAAAGAGGCCTTGTATATGCTGCAGGCGACTCGTATTTGGAAATGTTTCCGCTATTATAGGTGTGTAAGTGTGAGAATATTGCAGTAAGAATATCCAAGAAACGATTAGGAGTCATTATCAGTCTGATTTATGGCACTATTATAGCATTAGCTGTGCATAATGAGTGAGTGAGTGGATTGACTTATACGGCACTTTTAGCAATATTCCAGCAACATCACGGCGGGGACGCCAGAAAATGGGCTTCACTCATTGTATCCATGTGGGGAATCGAACCTGGGTCTTCGGCGTGACGAGCGAAGGTTTTAACCACTAGGCTACACAAACATTTAAGCTGAATTGGACGGGTAGTTAGAGGGATAGTCGCATATAGTGCATGGCAGGTAACCAAATGGATAGACATATAGAGAAAGACTGAGACAGACACGGGATAAAGATACAAGTATAGGGTTAAGAAGATCCATACAGGGAGGCACAGTGGAAATATAGACAGATTGGAGTTGAGAGTTGACAGGGGTTGACAAAGGTAGAGGCAGATGACGGTGAGAGACTCAGTGAATGAATGAGTGAGTATGGTTTTACGCCGCTTTTAGCAATATTCCAGCAATATCACACACATTGTAACCATGATCACCTTGATCAATACTAGTTGTACCGCCTCCACCTCATCTCACCCCAATTCCTCGGCTTCTCACTCACCTGTAGCACAGCTGACAGCTACGCCGACGACGACGCTCACTATCACCGCTAACGTACTGTACCACATGAAGGACAGGTTGTAGAAAAGGTCTAGACCATCACTAAAATTTAAATAAATCATTTTGTCTAACTGTTGGTCTCAAAAACCGATATCTTTTTTAAAATGTTATTTATATTTAGATAATAATATATAACTAACAACTAAAAGACCAGCAGAATATATGTCACAGTTGTATATACATACACACCCGGGCAAAAGAAAGCATACACTTGAAAATTGGATTTTAACATAAAATGACACACGTTGTGAAAACGTTATCAAGATGAAACAAACCCCGAAGCGTTTAAGGTCCACAACACAGATTTGATACCCGTATCAAATACATCAGCACCGAATAACCACTTGGTTGTTTCAATGCCACCTTCAAACAATGGGTGTATACTTTCTTTTCCCCTTTAGTTTACACAGCTTTTTGGTATTCTGACGTCTTAAATAAACCTTACAGCGGTGCGTTTTCCACTGCGATGGGGGTTGATGTTAAAATGGTTGTTACAGGCATAGTGACGTTCCCTGTCACTGTGCCGTTAACGCAGACGGGTGGTGGAGGGGCGTTAGCGTTCATCTGTAGGGTAGAGCCTATTGCTACCCAACAGGAAATGATCACGCTGGACAGAAAACCGGCGCCTGCTCCCTGGAAGAGAAAGATAACTCTGTCAAGCATTTGAACAACATAATAATAAAACTTTGGCATCTTAGAAAAGAACTACAGTTTGCTCTATCCCCATGTATAGTATAATAAAGTAAAACTACTTCATTACACTATACATGGGGGCAGAGGGAACTGTATTTCTTAAATATTGCAACATATGAACATCAATATTCCTCAATAATGTTCGACCGCCTCCGTGGTGTAGTGGTTAGAGCGTCCGCCAGGAGAGCGGAAGGTCGCGGGTTCGATCCCCGACCGCGTCATACCAAAAGACGTTAAAATATGGTACTTGTTGGTCCCTGTCTGGCGCTCGGCATTAATGGGTACAACAAGGACTGGTCGGCTCGGAGTCAGTATACTGTGTCTGAGTGGGGTATTCATGCTTCATGTATCTCAGTGGGCTAGCACTATAAACCCAGCCTAAGTCTGGGCTAGTACAAGCAGGCGCACATACACATACACATACACACGCATGCACGTCGTCATATGAGCGAAATGTTCTCAAGCACGACGTAAAAACCCACTTTCACCTCACCTCACCTCAATAATGTTCACCTCAGTGTTGAACCTATCTCACTCACTCACTCACACATTCCTGAACGCCCCACGCAGATGGGCTGACGTTTGACCAACTCACCCAGGAGTTTGTACAGGGGAGGAACATGCCGAGGAGGAAGAGGCCAAGAAGAGGTCCCCAAATATCCCCAGTATACTGAGTGAGATCTGCAGCACCAGGCTGTTCAGGGCGCCGGCTAGAAGGGCAAGGCCAATGATGATGGCGCCGAATACAAGCGCTGTAAACAACAAACACAATATCAAAGGTAAACACGTTGAAAAACACAGAAACAAATCCATATGTGGATGATCTAAAAGGAATAGTATAAGAACGGAATCAAACCATTCTTAAATTGCATATATGCTATATTTAGTCTGAAATAGTTTACGAAGACCAATCACTTCAGGGGCGGATACAGCTTTTTGAGAAAGTGGGGGTGCACACTATTGAGAAAAGGAGGGGTGCACACTTCATTTTCGCCCGAGTTTCAATGGTCATTTAACAAACTTTCAGCACAAAAGGGGGGGCTGGACCCCTGCACCACCACCCACCACCCTCTGGATCCGCCTATGCACTTCCAATTACTTTATTTCTCTCGTGTTGGCATAGAAAAGAATTCAGAAGATTGAAAAAATAGGCTTCACGCATTGTACCCATGTGGGGAATCGAACCCGGGTCTTCGGCGTGACGAGCGAACACTTTAACCACTAGGCTACATGTCTGTGTCGTCTCAGACCTACCCAAAACCTTGGACAGTACGGATGCAGCCTTGCCGGGGACACTGCGTCCCGTCACTGCCAGGTGTGCTGGTTCCAGGACATCGGACAAAAACACCGCCGCCAGTGCATTCACACCGGAGGACACCGTACTGAAGCGATATCAAGTTGTCAAACCATAAAATGTGTTCCTCTTCATCATACCAGCTTCTAAATGTCTTTTAAAGATGGAACATATGCTAGTAGTCAAATAGGTCTTCCTTGCGTGACACAGCTTCAATATTCGCGTTTTCCCCGACCATTATTGACAGAAATGGATAATTTTCACCCCTGAAATTATCTCATCTTCAGTTTAGTAATAATGTATAAGATTTTTAAAGTGAATTAATTTTAAATTATCTCCACTTCAGCTTAATTTAGTATTTTTATGTTGTAAAATGAATCACTGTTGGGGATATTGCTTTCAATTTGCTGCAAGCATGTTGAATCAGTACGTAATGGCGCAAAACTGAGTCTTGCAACGTGATAATTCTCATGACTGTCTGTATCAAGCTTTAAGAAGTGCTCAGTCAGTGGGTTTAAGTGTGTGATTTGTTCCTACCTGAGAGCTGCACTGAAGATACAGGCAACGAACAGACCGGGTAGACCATGGAACCCACCCAGGATGTCCATCACCAACAGAGGGATAATCTGAAACATCGTTACCATGCATCGGAATCCATAACCGCTGTCGTTTTGTCTTCTTCAAAACTATTATACTTTCCAGAGCCATAGGGTTAAACCTCGGCCGGGTGAAGAATTAAGTGACTTGAATTACCATTGAACCCACCACACCCAAAAAGGTCCCACCCCATCACGAGTAAAGAAATACCCTCAATCAGCCCCGCACCACCCGTCATCAGTCCAGCACCACCCCTCATCAGTCCAGCACCACCCCTCATCAGTCCAGCATCCCTCATCAGTCCAGCACCACCCCCCCTCATCAGTCCAGCACCACCTCTCATCCATCACCCTCATCAGTCCAGCATCACCCCTCATCAGTCCAGCACCACCCCTCATCAGTCCAGCCACCCCTCATCAGTCCAGCATCACCCCTCATCAGTCCAGCACCACCCCTCATCAGTCCAGCATCACCCCTCATCAGTCCAGCACCACCCCTCATCAGTCCAGCACCACCCCTCATCAGTCCAGCACCACCCTCATCAGTCCAGCACCACCCTCATCAGTCCAGCACCACCCCTCATCATCAGTCCAGCATCAACCCTCATCAGTCCAGCACCACCCGTCATCAGTCCAGCACCACCCTCATCAGTCCAGCACCACCCCTCATCAGTCCAGCATCACCCCTCATCAGTCCAGCACCACCCCTCATCAGTCCAGCACCACCCCTCATCAGTCCAGCACCACCCTCATCAGTCCAGCACCACCCCTCAGTATCAGTCCAGCACCACCCTCATCAGTCCAGCATCACCCCATCTCATCAGTCCAGCACCACCCCTCATCAGTCCAGCACCACCCCTCATCAGTCCAGCACCACCCCTCATCAGTCCAGCACTCCCCCAGTCCAGCACCACCCATCATCCAGCACCATCCCTCATCAGTCCAGCACCACCCCTCATCAGTCCAGCACCACCCCTCATCTGTCCAGCACCACCCCTCATCAGTCCAGCATCACCCCTCATCTGTCCAGCATCACCCCTCATCAGTCCAGCACCACCCCTCATCTGTCCAGCACCACCCGTCATCAGTCCAGCACCACCCCTCATCTGTCCAGCACCACCCACATCTGTCCAGCACCACCCCTGATCAGTCCAGCACCACCCCTCAACTGTCCAGCATCACCCGATCATCACATAACCACCACCTCTCATCAGCTGGGTCCCAATGAACCCTTAGCTCAGGGTACCGTACATAAAACTGCTCAGCACAACCATCCTCTTTCACACAGCACCGCCCTCATCTATCCCAGTATCGCCCTATTCTGAGCTCGACCCATCGTTATCCACTATGACCCATCTTCTTTTACACAGCACCACCCTAATCTACCCAGTTTCACCCTGTTAGGTGCTCAACCCGTCGTTATCCACTATAACCCATCCTCTTTTACACAGCACCACCCTCATCTACCCAGTATCACCCTATTCTGTGCTCAACCCGTCGTTATCCACTATATCCCATCCTCTTTTACACAGCACCACCCTAATCTACCCAGTATCACCCTATTAGGTGCTCAACCCGTCGTTATCCACTATAACCCATCCTCTTTTACACAGCACCACCCTAATCTACCCAGTATCTCCCTATTAGGTGCTCAACCCGTCGTTATCCACTATATCCCATCTTCTTTTACACAGCACCACCCTCATCTACCCAGTTTCACCCTATTCTGGTGCTCAACCCGTCGTTATCCACTATAACCCATCCTCTTTTACACAGCACCACCCTAATCTACCCAGTTTCACCCTATTAGCTGCTCAACCCGTCGTTATCCACTATAACCCATCCTCTTTTACACAGCACCACCCTCATCTACCCAGTATCTCCCTATTAGGTGCTCAACCCGTCGTTATCCACTATATCCCATCCTCTTTTACACAGCACCACCCTAATCTACCCAGGTTCACCCTATTAGATGCTCAACCCGTCATTATCCACTATAACCCATCCTCTTTTACACAGCACCACCCTAATCTACCCAGTTTCACCCTATTAGCTGCTCAACCCGTCGTTATCCACTATAACCCATCCTCTTTTACACAGCACCACCCTAATCTACCCAGTTTCACCCTATTAGATGCTCAACCCGTCGTTAACCACCCATATCCCATCCTCTTTTGGCGTCGTTAACCACTATATCCCATCCTCTTTTACACAGCACCACCCTCATCTACCCAGTTTCACCTTATTCTGTGCTCAACCCGTCGTTATCCACTATAACCCATCCTCTTTTACACAGCACCACTCTAATCTACCCAGTTTCTCCCTATTAGTGCTCAACCCGTCGTTATCCACTATAACCCATCCTCTTTTACACAGCACCACCCTCATCTACCCAGTTTCACCCTATTAGGTGCTCAACCCGTCATTATCCGCTATAACCCATCCTCTTTTACACAACACCACCCTCATCTACCCAGTATCTCCCTATTAGGTGCTCAACCCGTCGTTATCTACCATACCCCATCACCTGGTCAGCACCCCACCTTCCCCAATACCTGGTCTGGCTTCTCCACACGGCACGTGGTTACAGGGTCATCGTCGTAGTATTTGGCGTGGACAACGAGGCCTAGGAACACCATGAGAGACGTTAGAACCAGCGCCGCCGGCAGGTTGAGATACAGGGCTCTGAAGAGTTGAGACATTGCAGCAATATCATTTCTGTCACACTTTGTGATGAAAAACAGTGTACAACCAACAATTTAAACTGCCGAGCAACACAAAGTATTGAAAATAGGAAATACACCACCCTCCGATGACCATTTCTAATTTAGCCACCATCAAATATGGATGAACGGTTTCTTTTGCCTGGCAATGCATTTCAGGCAATACTCGACCCTACAACCGTCGATCGCGATCCAGAATCACACGTACCCTTCTCTCGCCTAAGAGCCGTGAAGATCCGGGTTAGAATAGGTCTTCAGCAACCCATGCTTACCACAAAAGGCGACTATACTTGTCGTAAGAGGCGACTAACGGGATCTGGTGGTCAGGCTCGCTGGTTTGGTTGACACATGTCATCAGTTCCCAATTGCGCAGATCGATGCTCATGCTGTTGATCACTGGATTGTCTAGTCCAGACTTGATTATTTACAGACCGCCGCCATATAGCTGGAATATTGCTGAGTGTGGCGTAAAACTAAACTTACTCACTCTCTCGCCTAAGAGGCAAGTTACAAGGTGAAAATGTATCTTTGGCATTATCCTAATGGTTAAAGCGTTGGCTCGTCACGCCGAAGACCCGTTGTTTCTGTCAACAAGCCCATTTTGGTGTGATAGAGATCTCGAAAACTTCAGTCACCGAATATGTTGTACAAGCTGTCATGAGATCGTATAGTATGTTGTACTGTCATGACGTATGGTACTCAGGATCCTCTACTGGTATCCTCCGAGGTAAGTACACCGAGCAGAAGGCACCCTACCGAATGCTCTCTATTTCCATAGCGTACTGAGAAGTAGGTATATAGTACTAAACGCACCCTTCTAAAGGATCACTGATTTCATGGCGTGCTCAGATGTAGCTATACATTACTGAAGACACACTTCCTAGGAATTTCTACAGCCATGGCGCGATCAGAAGTATATAGTACTAAACGCACCCTTCCAAAGGATCTCAGATGTAGGTATACTAATTTAAAGGCACCCTCCCAAAGGATCTCTACTGCCATGACGTAAACTTACATCTGTGCCCGCTTCGTAGAGCTCATGCTAAGGTACCGCTGGATCATGGCTTGGCTGGACCCGTAGATGGTCAGGGAGGAGAAGAAGCCCCCCACGATCAGGGACCAGAAGGTGTAGCGCACGAAGGGACTCGGGTCGAAGCTGCCAGACACAACCACAACACAAATAGCTTTGGAAACTGAAGGGGAGAAAATCAATTATAATTTTAAAAAACGGCTTCCAAGAAAATAACCCGAAAAAGATTTTGTTTTGTTTGTGGACCTGTCAAATAGCCCAAACCAAGAATCCATTAGCAAGTACCTAAACAACGAGAAAGAGGTCCCGTTGCACTAATAATGAGTGAGTGAGTGATTTCTACTTAACGCCGCATTGAGCAGTCATATAACGGCGTGTCAGCTTGATGTTGGAGAAACCCCCGATGAAGAGCAGTGCTATAGTGCAAAAATAGTAGGTCAAACCGGGATTCCGAACAACGATCACTGGCTCGTGACACGCCTAAGGGACGTAACTCCCACCGATGTTCGACTACTACATCGGTACTTATTCATGAAAACATTTTTTATTTTATGAAATATAAACTGAATTCTCGCTGTTGTAAGTGATAGTTTAGAACTGGTTTGATTTCAGGGTAATGCTCTTGTTTTGTTGTTTTCGTTGTTACGTTTTGTTTTGTTTTGTTTTGTTCTTTGTTTTATTTTATTTTTGGTTCTTGTTGGGGTTTTTTTTATTGGTTTTTTGGTTGTTGATGTTTTTTTATTTGTTTTGGGGGTTTTTGTGTGTTCTTGGGTTGTTGTTTTTTTGGGGGTGTTTTTGTTTGTTTTGGTTTTGGTTTGGGGGTTTTCGGGGGTTGGGGGTTGGGGTTGGGAAGAGTGATTTGGGGTTGTTTCTGTTTTGTTCCTTTTATGGTCAACAAATACAATTCCGTGATGTTTCTTCCTACTTTGGTCGGTGGCGCTGTAGGTATTATTTCAGAGCCATTACTGGTTTACTGCGTGACTTATCGTATCCACAATGCGCAGCAGATAATCCGAGCTTCAAATGAAAATCCTTTGAGCCCTCATAAAGTTTATTCCTTCAAAAGATCGCAGTAATCACATATCCGTACTTGTTGACACACGGTAAACTTGTCACCATTCTCATGATCGCGCGACAGGATTTTCCTGAAACAAACGTTTCAGTCTGGACTTTGTGCATACACAATATCTGAGTCTACTTATAAATCAACTAGATTAATAAACAAATCAAAGAAATACTTCAGTTCTGGCTTCGCGTGTTAACCGTTAAGTTTTTTTCTCATGACCCAGCCGTCCTCACAATTAATCCCGGCCATATTTCTATACATATCTAACCACTGTTAACAAACCTATATTTCGTGTGTTCTGCGTAGATTTCGAACGTTAAGACTCGCACAGAAACATTGCCGCGGCCACTACAACTAGGCTACAGATATGACCAAAAGAGATCACATTGTCCTTAGGATTCAGGTATACTTTTTAAAAATATGGCCGACGAAAGAACTATAACCAAGCAATATAATTCATCCTAACCACGTTGTTAGTCAGTTGTTTGGGGTTTATTCTTTCTTTTTTGAGGTTTGGGGGATGGGGAGGGGTGGTTTAGTAACGACCAACATTACAACAGGTAAGTAAAACAGTAAGCGTTCACAACTTAAGGCACTGGTAACATGTTATGTTTTTATCATATTGTATACTTAAGAAACACATCGCGCTTCCTTTATTCTTCAAAATGTATTGTTGTTTAAATTGAATGAAGTTAGACCAAAATGGACTTTAGAAAGTGTTTTTCGTTAGAAAACTAGAATAAATACCGGCAAAATACAATCAAAGTGATAACTACGTAAAATTCACGTAACTAGTTATTTGACTGAAATTGCTTTGCGATGGTGTAGTTGCCTCCTGTCGCTTCTGGGGAGGTTATTTAACTTAAATATTGGGGCGATGTTGTAATTGCCTCCTGTCGCTTCTGGGGAGGTTATTTAACTTAAATATTGGGACGATGTTGCAATTGCCTCCTGTCGCTTCTGGGGAGGTTATTTAACTTAAATATTGGGACGATGTTGTTGTTGCCTCTTAGGTTATTTGAGTTACTGCAGTTGCCACTTGGGGCCGACCAAACAGGTACCGAGAATGTTGGAAAATAATAATGTATCATCGAGTATAACCCACAAAACTAACTCGCTCACTGGTAGGTGTTGTGGTTCTCCAATAAACGCTATCACTCCTCCAGGTTTACCCTCATCGTGGATCGCTGCTTATAATTGCAATCGTTAATTTATCAAGTGCCGTCATATTGCGGGAATGTTAGTTTATATGGCGTTAAACAGCATACAGTTAATGGAAAACATTGTATGTTTTGAAACGCTGACTGCACAAAGTTCAATCAGACAATGCAATATCAATGCCGTACTTGTCCAGTTGGAGCTTGTCCGCTTCCTTCGCTACCGCCATGATGTTGTCCCAGCCGCCGACCTCGATAGATCCCCGGATGATGATGGCGAGGAGACCGGCAAAGATTATCACCATCTGGAGCGTGTCTGTCCACATCACAGCCTTCAGGCCTCCCTGTCGACAGCGACGACGACTACAGTGAATAACGTTTGTACAAATTTCTTGATTCAGTGAGATACGTATTTCGTAATCTTACACTGAACTGCGTTATCGAACCCCACGTATTTCGTAATCTTACACGAACTGGGTTATCGAACCCCACGTATTTCGTAATCTTACACGAACTGCATTATCGAAACCCACGTATTTCGTAATCTTACACGAACTGCATTATCGAAACCCACGTATTTCGTAATCTTACACGAACTGCATTATCGAAACCCACGTATTTCCTAATCTTAATCTCACGAACTGCATTATCGAAACCCTATTTCCAATTTCTTACACTCTGCATTATCGAAACCCACGTATTTCGTAATCTTACACTAACTGCATTATCGAAACCCACGTATTTCGTAATCTTACACGAACTGCATTATCGAAACCCACGTATTTCGTAATCTTACACGAACTGCATTATCGAAACCCACGTATTTCGTAATCTTACACGAACTGCATTATCGAAACCCACGTATTTCATAATCTTACACGAACTGCATTATCGAAACCCACGTATTTCGTAATCTTACACGAACTGCATTATCGAAACCCACGTATTTCGTAATCTTATACGAACTGCATTATCAAACCCCACGTATTTCGTAATCTTACACGAAAAGCATGTTGATATTTTATTAAAGTTTCTTATTCTTTGTGAAGAATAAATAATAAACTACAGCTTACAGCTGTCTCGAGATACGAACTTGGTCCCTTTGCATACCTTATTATTTGTCGGATAACTCGAAGCATTTACGTAGGTCCCTCCAACTTCGACACAACGTTGTTTGACTGCATAAAGTCAACGTAGTGTATGTAAAGTCTTGTCCTACGTCAACTGTAGTGATATCTGCCTGTGTTACCTGACCGAGTCGCTGGTGGTTTGTTTGTTGTTCAATGCCGCACTCATAATTGCGCTGGTTGTTAGACCTTGTTAGTCTGATGTATTAATTTCAGGTTCGTGTGATTTGAGTGAGTGAGTGAGTGAGTGAGTTTAGTTTAAATCCATTTTTACCAATATTCCTGCAATAACTCTCTAGAAATGGGCTTCACACATTGTACCCATGTGAGAAACCGAACCCGGGTCTTCGTCTTGACGAACAAACGCTTTACCCACTAGGCTACCCTATCACTCTTCTTGTGATTTGAGGCCGCCTCCGTGGTGTAGTGGTTAGAGCGTCCGCCCGGAGAGCGGAAGGTCGCGGGTTCGATCCCCGACCGCGTCATACCAAAAGACGTTAAAATATGGTACTTGTTGGTCCCTCCCTGGCGCTCGGCATTAATGGGTACAACAAGGACTGGTCGGCTCGGAGTCAGTATAATGTGTCTGAGTGGGGTATTCATGCTTCACTGCGGCATGGTATCTCAGTGGGCTAGCACTATAAAACCAGCTTCAGTCTGGGCTAGTACAAGCAGCCGCACATACACATACACACGCATGCACGTCGTCATATGAGCGAAATATTCTCAAGCACGACGTTAAACCCAATTTCACCTCACCTCACCTCTTGTGATTTGAGGAATTGTTTGACAAATGATGTAAGGGATACATAACCCATCTCTCTTCAACTTACGACGGCAGTGTAGAAGGTGCAGACAACTCCGACGACAACGATTGATACCTCCGTGGACACGTCCATCACTACAACATTGTGAGATATATGTTTACAATGAATCAATTCAAGTCTGTTTATCTCACTAATGTCACATACACTGAAGATATTGTTGAAACTACAATACTACAACTGACCTTGACTGACGGCGAGCGCAGGTGCGTACAGTGTGATGGCCATATTAAACAGCTGAAACAAGAAGGGAAAGGAGGATTGCATGACTTTTCATAACGACGTCCCGTCCCAACCTTTGCCAAGCTTTAACTTACATTGCGGTCCTCTCAATTTATAAACTGACGTACAAAAGAAAGTATACACCTGATGCTTTGTTAAAACGTTTTCCTAAAAACAGCGTAATATTTAGAAAAGTGTTTTGATTGTGACTCACAAGTCACAAACATTGTGTACGTGTTGCAATAACACCATAGCTATCGTACCCAGTTGGAACATTTCTAGCAAAATATCTACGTTTTTTTAATAGTCTCAAAACACCAAGTGTGTACTTTCTTTTGTACATCAGTATATGTGACACAGAGATTGGTCCCCTCGCTAGATACTTAGAGTACGGATGGGAAGATATGTGTTGTTTTGTTTGTCGTTTAACGCCGAACTAAGCAATGTTCCAGCTATATGACGGCGGTATGTAAATAATCGAGTCTGGACCATACAATCCAGTGATCAACATCATAAGCATCGATCTACGTAATTGGGATTCGATGACGTGACAACCAGATCAGCGAACCCGACCACCCCGAGTCGCCTCTGACAACAAGCACGGGTTGAAGAAGAATTATAACCCGGATCTCCACATGTTGGAAGATGTTGGTAGGATCGATACGCAGAGTAGATTACGTTTCAGTTAATACATTGAGTGCATCAGTGAGAACAGGTACAGTGCACCAATTTGGTTACGAAGAGTTCCCCATTCAATACGTACTATACGAAGTGTTTATATGTAAAACACGACAGCGTGAATACTTAAGACAAGATCAATATATAGAGCGTACCTGATAGATTAGGTAGTGTACGACATAGAGGATACGTAGGACAAGGTTAATATATAGAGTGCGGCAGATAGGATACGTAGTGTACGACAGGGAGGTTACGCAAGGTGTGGATACCGGAGGTTATGGCAAGTTTGATAAATAGGGTGCGCCATATCGGATACGTTAGGTACGCCAGGATGGATAGAAAGGGTGAGTGAGATATATTTACGCAGAGCGCATCTTGGTGGATACGTATTGTGAATACGCAGTACGTCAGTGTAAACATGTAGAGCGAGGCAGAGACGATAGATGGGGTTCTGAGCGTTGGATAGTTAAACTGCATAGATACGTAGAGCACGATAGGGTTGATATAGTGAGTGCGAAGACTAGGATACGTTGGGCTCGAGAAAGGGAATACGTAGAGTACGGCAGGATCGATATATTGAGTAGAGTTGATAGGCTACGTGGGATTTCGAGAAAGAGGTTACGCTGGGTGTGTCAGAGTTGACACCTAAACGAAGGTGGGTGGATACTTTGGATTGAATGTTACGCTAGGGTGGATACGGAGAGATCGGTTGGGTGCAAATTACCATCTGTATCTGGAATAGGAGGCTGCCCATCACCCTCACGGCCTTGCTGAATCTCAGCTCCAAGTACTGTGGAAGACAAAACAAGCTACATGGTAACAGCACAGTAACCATGCTTTATTAAAATATATTGCTATACATTTTATACTCATGCCAATAATGGTTGTCACCCCCTTCAATTTTTTTAATTAGAGAGGGGGTGTGGGGTGTGGGGTGTGAGGTGTGTGTGGGGTTGGGGTTGGGAGGGGCTGACAACCTTTATTGGCATGAGTATATATAATCGTTTAACATCATGTATTTCTTTTGAAAATATACCTAGAAAATATTCAAACACTTACAGAATTTCCCCGAATCGACTGATTAACGAGTATTGGAACAAAATAAACGAACGTGATCAGTAAGAACAAGCCTCTAACAAGAGGAAAACCACCATTGTCATTACATGATGTGTTCACCACAAAACAATACGGGTGTCCCCTTTACAGGAGTTGGTAGTTTGGGGACGATTTGGGGAGGCAGTCGTAAGATACCATGGCATATTTGGTCCTAGATGACGCCCGTGTTTGAAAGGTTCAGTAAACTCTCCATGTGCCCGAATGACGACCTTGACCCTACAGCTCATCCCACCAGACATCCCGTCGGATCTGTTAAAGTGACAACTGCAATCACACTAGATGTAAAGCTGTTTCCAGACCTCTCCGGTTCTGTACAGGAGGTTCAAGTGACTGTAGACGACTCATCAATCTGGACCGATGACGTGCCAAGGCAGAGTCGTCACGGCGTTCTTCTTGGGGTAGACTGTCACTGAACAAGAACGCATGGGTCTGGCGTCATCATTTATAGATTCAGTTCTTGTGGCGAGTGGGAATTTGTCGAAATCAGTCTAAGTAAACTTAGGCTCAGTATTATTCGTTACACTGCTATACTGAGTCTAACAAAACCTTGTGGAAGGTCGCGTCCGGTAACCTTTTCAATTGACCAATCAGAACACAGCTTACCAAATCGCAAAAGTTGACATTCGCACATACCTTTTGAACTTTTACCTCGAAAACGTTTTTTACCCGAAAGATTCCGAATGCTATTTTTAGTACGATCGCTTCCGAGTGATGCACATGGAGCACGCCACAACTGTGAGTAAACAGTCGCTGAAAATAGCGTTTTGTCAGTATTCAAGGATGTCAGCTTGCGGAAATATTAGCTAATGATAACCATGTCAACAGAAACCCTAAAGCGTATATTCTGCAGGTCATATATCTGTGTTTTATGCGGGTTTTCATTTGTTGTGAGATCAGTGTTGGCGACCGGGGAAAAGTAAATCCATTTTGTAAGTCCCGCCGAGACCCTAAATAATAGCCGTTGTCTGATTGGTTAAATCCGTTCCGTCGTCTCGCGTTTGATTGGACGGTCATAGGTCGCTCAAAGGTTACCTGACGCGACCTTCTACTAAGGTTTGTTAGACTCAGTATAGCAGTGTAACGAATAATACTGAGCCTAAGTTTACTTAGACTGTTGTCGAAATAGGAGACAACGAGAGTTCCAGGTCAATTAGGATGTAAGGTTGACAGTACCTTGACAGTACCTTGACCACGTTCAGCTTGCAGTCGTCTGTAACACACACCAAAGTCATTACTTGGCATCCCCCGAGGCCTGTCCTTGGGTGTATAGACCATAATTCCTGCGCCCCGAACCTTCAGTCGTACATCTGTGACATGGTGAGGATTGAGTGAGTAACGTTTTACGCCGCTTTTAAGCAATATTCCAGCAATATAACGACAGGGGACACCAGACATCGGCCTCACACAATTGTATCCATGTGGGGAATCGAACCCGGGTCTTCAGCGTGATGAGAGAACGCTTTAACCACTAGGCTACCCTACCTCCCTTTGACATGGAGCAGGAACCCGCTTTCGTCCGGGCAATAGATGTTTCAGCCAGGTTCTCCGGTCTCAAGCTTGCCTTGCTGATCATCTGGTGCTGATCTCAAAGTAGTTAGTGTTTGAAGATTCTTGGGGACAACCCGTGAAGGTCCGGGTTAGAATGAGCCTTCAGTAACTCATGCTTGTCGTAAGAGGCGACTAATGGGATCAGGTGGTCAGGCTCGCTGACTTGGTTGACACATGTCATCGGTTCCCAATTGCGCAGATCGATGCTCATGCTGTTGATCACTGGATTGTCAGGTCCAGACTCGATTATTTACAGACCGCCGCCATATAGCTGGAATATTGCTGAGTGTGGCGTAAAACTACACTCACTCACTCACTCTTGGGGACACCACTAACTGGTTCCCTAAGGCTCCCGTGTGCATACAGTAATTATACCGAACACGCCTATGACGAACGGATACAAGGATCTGGTTTGGGTCCCCTCCACATGCTGTCGATGTTGGACGAAATGCGTATAAGGAACTACGGTTATTTCGACCTAAAATTGATAGTCCTTTTGAGTTCGCTATAGCCGTAGTTTACTGTATACTGGGACTGTCTATTATCGCGGCACGCGAAAACATCGGGAAAGCAGAAACACCACGCCCCTCATCGGCTGTTTACATATGCAAATTACGTAAAATATATTCATCGCTCTTGAAAAAGTCATTTATTTCATTGAAATGTCATGTCTAATTGCAGAAATAGTAAAGCATTCATCTTTCAGTAGGTTCTAGAAAACTTTGAAACTAGTATGACTCCTACTGCCATTACATCAAGCATGAATCAAAACTTACTTCGTCAAGAGTAATCCTGCGACAACTATAAGGTCATTTGCATATTTTCCGTGTTAAAATTAAACAGGAAGTGACGTATTATGCAACTTCACTCTACACACGGCAGCAATTTGTATGGTACGTTTTAAGGCGGAAAAACAATTTTTGTAACGTTATTGTTACCTTGTATCCAAATGAATAGAAGTTTCAGATGTTTGGGTTAAAAACATGATGATATTACTAATGTGAATAAAATTCCTAAATATTTTTTAATGATCAAACTATTTAGATTCGTTACTTGTCTTAGTAAACGTTTGACAGTGTCATCTGCTTGTACCGCGTGCCATAGAAAGAAAATGGCAATACCGCGATAATAGAGAGTTGCTTCAATTTCCGGGTCAAACGAGACAATCGGAATTGCCGCAATGGTATTAAACGAGCTGCGACAATGTGTCACATTATTTTTGACAGAAATGAAGATTAAACATCAGTCAACTGAAAATGTAGGATAAAAGTTGTTTAACAAACGATCATAGTTTCAAATCGCTATTATTGGTTTGTATTACAAGGGGGTATGCACATTAAATGAAACACCAAAAACAAGTATGGCTGGTCTTAGTTAACGCTCATCACGTACAGCACGTGCATTTGTTTCACTGTTCCATCTACTGCGCTTACCCCTTTGTAATACAAACCAATAATAGCGATTTGAATCTATGATCGTTTGTTAAACAACTTTTATCCTAAGTTGAATAAAATTCTGAGATTTAAATGTTCATTTGGCAAGGTAAAATTATGAGGATTCGCAATCTTAATTTCGCTTAATTTGATTTACTTTTTTGTTTAAAGTGAAATTCATCGGTACGTTTTCACTGCAAACAGACTATAGGTACGCTGTAAATGTTCAAGGTGTTTCGTTATGTACAGTGAGGTAGGGTACAGACCTTCTTCGAAAGTGGGTCTCTCGCCACGAAACAAACAGATTATGTGACAAATATAATCCATGTTTCAAATTTGCTAGCGTTATTCTAGTAATATACATAACAGAGGTTTGACAGAACCAACTACAATACAAATACCAGCCATTTGAAGTTGTTAGGTGCGGTGTATGCTCAGTAGTGACTGTTTGTTTGCAGTGTTGTCTCACTAAAGCTTTGTGCAGTAAAACACTCTCGAAATTTAATATGTTTCTCACGTTTCTGTGAGACCTGGTATATTGCCCTGAAGTCGGGGCTTTAAGATGAGACGTGGTAGACGGATAACGTTTAACGTTGTGCTCAAGATTATGTCTGTGCACGTGTTCGTTTGTATATGTATGCGCTCGCGCGTGTGCACGTTTGTCTGTACTGATGCCGCTCTCTTAGTACTAAAAATAGTACCGAATAGTTGAATATGAATACACACTCAAACATAGTTTACTGACGCCGATCAGACCAATTCTGGTTTTAACTTCTTACGTCATGCACCAGACAGGGTAACAACATATACCATCTTGTAACGTCACCTCTTTTGTTCTGACGCAACCAGGGACGGAACCGCTAACCTTCCGTTTTCCGTCAGACACTCGATCAACGCGACCACAAAGAGATCCTTCAGGGCTATATATATAATATTACACACACACACACACACACACAGAGAGAGAGAGAGAGAGAGAGAGAGAGAGAGAGAGTTAAGCACCCCCTGATATTTTTGATGAAATTACTCCCCCATTATCTGAAATAGTGATACAAGTATAATTATGGGAAGAGTAGAGTTTGCGCAAGACCATATAACCATTGATGAGTGACAATCGCGCTCGTGTCGTTTGTGGCATGCACGTGCAACATGCTACCCTCGAGGATCACACAAAGCAGTATGGCCCAACTGTATTTGCGGGTGTTTAACGTTGGCTGAAGCGGTCAATTCAAGCATATTCATTGAACATGGCACGGAGACTATTGTCAGTCGACACTAGGAATCAGATTATTGGTATGCATACCGCAGGAATGTCCTTTATGGCGATTGGACGAAATCTGGGCTACCATTACACCGTTGGTAGCCGTTTAGTCCGGAAACATGCGAAGACCGGAAGTGCAATGGACCGACCAAGGTATGGAAAGCATCCAGACACCTGATACGACATGCACGCCCTTCAGTACAAGTCCTCAGCTGAAAAGACTGGTTACCCAATTGGCCCATCAGCACCAGAACAGTCAGAAATCGTCTTAAAGCGGCATGAGTGAAGGCCAGAAGAGTCATTAAACGTCCTTTGTTGAGAGACCACCATAAACGTGCACGCTTGGCATGGTGCTTGGCCAGACGACACTGGAATCTGCGGACCTGGAGGAAAATCCATTGGTCGGACAAAAGCCGCTTCTTACTTCATGTT